GCCGAGCGGGGCGTGTACAGGGGGGCGTCCAGGGAGTCGAACCCCCCTTGCTGGCCGCAGAAAACGCATCTGGGGGATCTAATTTTAAAAAAAATTCTGGAGAGTGCCCCCCAGACCCCTTTTTCGCGTGCTCGCCAACGCTGGCTTACGGTTACACCCCCCCCTGCCGTACAATCCTGTACCGGCCCCTGCCGAGCAAATTTGCCAACATTTAAAAAACTGAACCCCCCCCCATATAAAGCTGGCTACGGGCCTGCCTGGCCACAGTACGGAGCCCACAGGCCACTTGGAAGCGTTTCAACTGTTAAACACACGCCGCGCCATTGCGCGCACACTGACACATAAATATATATATATATATGTTTATGTGTCAGTGTGTCCCTATATATTTATGTGTCAGTGTGCGCGTAATGGCAGCGGCGTGTGTTTACAGTTGAAACGCTTCAAGCTTAGCCTGTTGTTACGGATGGCTTTGCGAGAAAAGGCGTGCCATGATGAGAGCCAGTTAGCACAGGGTAGACACGCGATGTTTTGGTGGTCATTTCTTAACAACATGGACACACAAACGGCAAAGTTACGCCTACTATTTGCTTTGGTTAGTATTTGGCAAGTGCATGAACATTCGCCACATTCATATCCATCATTAATGGTATTAAATTTGTCGATTGAAATAAGGGCGATTCTATTCTTCTTATGTCTTTACCGAATCGATGTTTTTTTCGGTTTAGCCTGTGCATTACGTGACTTACGTAATACCAACTTTACATCGGAAATTAATATATCAAGAAATGGTGTTGCAATCTGTTTTTTGCTAACAATCTGTTTTTGGAACAACAAGTTTGAACACACTCTTTTCCGTTCTACTGAAATATCATCGCACGCTGTCCCAACGGGGAGAGAGAGAGTGGTCGTAGGCCTCCTCGTTCTGTACCTGGCGGATTTTGCCAGCGCAGTCATGGCGCACTTTGCTGCTTAAAATCCAGTCGAGAAGCGAATGAGCAACAAATCCCAGCTCATAAATATACGTAAATAATCTTGGTTTACAGCCCAAACTAGAAATTAAAGGCACTCGGGGAGAGTTGCGAATCCCGCACACGCGATCACTACACTGTGATATCAGCTACGCTATTTTACAGCGCGGCTGAAATTAATATCGATTATCAGAATACACGTCTGGGCACCACACAACACCGCTGGAACCCTCGCCCCGCACATGCAATGCCTGTAGGCCTACGGTCCTTCTCCTATGCCCAGCGTTGCGTTCTATTACTTATTCCTGCGGACGAAGCCTATGTGTAGCCTCTATAGAGATCAGGTGTTTTCGAAAATATACATAATGACTCTGTGACCTTGACCCTTGGCCGTCAAGGCCACTCAGAATCAATAGTGTTCTACGCCCTATAAGATGCACTGTGGCCATCAAGTTGAAGTTTCTCCATTTCTACCGTTGCAAAGATAAGAGGGAACAGACACACATCACACACGCCGCACGCCACGGCACGCACGCAACGGCACGTACACACACACACACACACACACACACACACACACACACAACACACACACACACACACACACACACACATACACAACAAACCAAAAAAACACATATATACAAACGAGCAAAACATATACCCTCCGGCTACACTTCGTGCGGAGGTAATGAACCTAGCCTGGCTTTTGCGCGTAGCTGCGCATTATAGTCATCACTGCAATCATACATATGATTATGCCACCAAGTTCAATATTTCATGTTGTCGCTGCTTGATAGCGAGCGAAGACTTGACGGTTATCTATTTTGCAAACACCACCCATTTCAAGTACACAAAGTAATCTGTTCAATCCATGTCCTTTCGTGGGGACTGCGTGCGTATTGCTAGATCTGACTGTAGGAGAATTATAGAACAGTTATAGCAAAGTCCACGGTACGCGCATCACTTTGACCCTCAATTTTTTTTACTTTTCCACGTCTAGCTGCTAGCTGCTACCAGAAATACAGCATTTAAATTTTTTGGGTAGAGTATCATGATAATTAAAGATGTTTGCCAATTATATATATATAATATATATACTATAATATTTATATATAATTGATCGCTGCGCGCTTGTGTGTGTGTGTGAAGTTGGCTGTCAGCATGACTAGCTGTTTCTCAAAGCTGTGGGTACCTACTACAATTAAAACGGTCGCCCAAGAAGAACATATTTATCATTGATACTCGATTGTTACAGTATTCTGTGAATAACTCGATGCCATCTGCTAACTGTTTGTGTAGGGATCATGTTCAGAAAAGAATTTCGCTAAAACCACAACGGAATAACCATTGGCTACTCGCGAGGCCTCGGAGACATATACAAACTCTTGCCAAAGCAGTAGCGATGCGCACTGCTATTGAACGATTCATGCAGGTTCGATCATCAACAATTACACGCAACACGGTGTGTTACATGTTTTGTTGAACTATATTGCGTAAACTAAGAAGTCCGAAAATCCGGACTGCTCGGGGATTTGCGGCGGTCCGGCATTTTTCGGATTTATCAGATCGTTCGGCAGTAGGTTATTTTAAAAATTAAATTTTAATATAAATAGTTAAAATTTAAGAAAGAATAAAGTAATAGATGAACGGGTAAATTACTAAATTTTAGATAGTTTTATCATTAGTCAAATACCAGCATGCTTCATTTATAAAAACTAGCCATTTGCGCGCCCGTGAATCACGGGCTCTTAGCATATTACCCAGGCGAATCGCAAATATCGAAATACATCAATAAGTATAATAAACTTGTAATGCAATTATAAAATCGTAAAACAGATACTGTAATAAACAGGGGCAGTACGTGTATTATACTTAGCGTGCGTAGCGGGCGTGGGGGGGGGGGGTTACGAAGACCCCTCCGCGGGATCGGAAGTTCCGCTCAGAATGTATAAAAAAAATTAACCCTATTTCGCAATTCCAAATACTGTAGTGGTACAAATTAATAGAAATTAGCAATAATGAAGTTTTCCGTCGATCCTCATTATTATCCACTACACGTATTTATTGTTCATTCCAGCCAGTATTTTGAAAATAAAGTCGAAGAAATATCTTAATTTAGCATTGTGTAAAGTTTTATATTATTTCCATAAAATTAACCGTCTTCAAACCTGCCACGTCACAATGACAGTCACGTAGCAATTAGTTTAAATTATCTTAATTTAAACTTTTACAAATCGAATAATACCTAAATTGAGATTTAAGGATTTTAAACTGTATTGCATTAATAAAATAAACTATTAGAATCCAACTAATTTATTTGAATTGGAAGGCCTGGGTAAACATAACACTCCAGTAATTTTTAGTTTCCTGTCTTCTTAAACGCGTTACCTCCACTCGTCGACATTATTTTAGTGATGCCGTCTATCGTATAATCACCACACAAAACTGACCGAGGTTAGTGGGTAGAGGCTAATATGATTTTGTTGCTATCATTGAACCTTCAAATTCCGTGAACAACTATTGACGCTAAAGCTGCCAATGTGCTTGCTTATTGGCGCTAATTAATTTCACGACAAGCAGCTGACATTTATTCTTTGAGCATTTATTTCCACAAAAGCTTAGCCATCGATTCATTGAGGGTTAGAACTTCGATACGAATAGGCATATTTACGTTATCGATAAAAACTAGTCGCGAAATGAAAGGTTCATATATGTGTTAATGAATCCATTATCGTGTATTCTCTAATAATGCCTTGAGATTGGCGGTATCAGCACCAGTTGCGAGAGCTCCTTGCACAACATAGAAATGTTTCATATTCACTGAGCCTGTTTACTGAACTTAAGAGTATGTATTGTCACCATTTGCGGCCCGTGAATCACGGGCCTCTAGCATTTACCCAGGCAATCGCAATATCGAAGAAGTAAATCAAAAAGTATAATAACTTGTAATGGAATTATAAAATGTAAAATAGACAGTTAATACAGAGCAGTACGTGTATGTACTTCAGGTGCGTAGCCGGGGGGGGGGGGTGTACGAAGACCCCTCCGCGGGATCGGAAGTTCCGCTCAAATGTATAAAAAAAATTAACCCTATTTCGAATTCCAAATACCGGTGGTAGTACAAATTAACAAAATTAGCAAAAATGAAAAGTTCCGTCGATCCTCATTATTATCCACTACACGCATATGTGTCATTCCAGCAGTATTTTGAGAATAAAGTAAGAAATATGTAATTTAGCATTGTGTAAAGTTTTTATTTATTTCAAATAAAATTAACCGTTTCAAACCGGGTCCAAATGACAGTCACTAAATTAGTTTAAATCCTTAATTTAAACTTTTACAAATTAATGACACCTAAATTGAGATTTAAGGATTTAAACTGTATTGATTAATAAAATAAACTATTAGAATCCAACTATTTATTTGAATTGGAAGGCTGGGTAAACACTCCACTAATTTTAGTTCTTGTCTTTTTAAAGGCGTACCTCCCACTCGTCGTATATTTTTTGGGAATGCCGTCTATCGTATATGCCACACAAAACTGACCGATGTTAGTTGGGATAGAGGCTATATGATTTTGTTGTATATTGAACCTTCAAATTCCGTGAACCAACTATTGACGTAAAGCTGTAGTGTTGCTTATTGTGCGCTAATAATTTCACGAGCAACCAGCAACATTATTCTGACCATTTATTTCACAAAAGCCTTGCCATCGATTCATATGAGGTAGAACTTCGATACCGATGGATATTAAGTATCGATAAAACAAGTGCGAATGAAAGGTTTATATATGTGTCAATAAATCCATAACGTGTTTTCTCTAATAATGCCTGAGATTGGCGGTATCAGCCAAGTGGAGAGCTCTTGCACAACATAGAAATGTTTCATATTCGCTGAGCCTGTTACTGAATAGAGTATGTATTGTCATTTCCAATAGAGTTTACTAATCATGGTCAGTCATATAATTATTCGTAAACTTTACATGTGTTGTTGAATAAATATTTTGTTTTTACGGCATGAATATAGGCACCTAGAGGAGTGGATTATGTCATTGGTGCCTATGATGGAATGTATACCGAAGGACTCGCCCGGAGGAAGAGTACGGGAAATGTTCGAAAAAGTTGTCAAGGGTAGTTTTCTTACAAATGATGCATCCTATAATTATTATGGTTCCTCAAAAGCTTACCAGGCTCTATGACTGTACTGTGTGCTACACTTATGGCATACGCAGTAAATACCCGGACGGTACGTTGCTTGTGGCTAAATCCACTATAGCTGAATTATTATCGTTCCAGAGATGTAGTTTTTCAAGTATCAAAATACCACATATATGCCGCAACTAAAAGGCTATTAGTTTGTCAACATAATGCCATAACATCTTATACGAATTGTTATAGGAGATACCTATATATGTTTTCAGTATTATTAAAAACACATCATATACTAGCGTATTGATATATTTTGGTGTTATCAAATTCAATTTTCTGCTGATATCCGAGTTATTCAATACGTTGACGTGAAACGAACTATTCAATTGAAATGTATAAAGTAGCTGTAGAAATCGATACACGCTACACATGTACTATCTTTGTTATACCCTTGTATATCTATGCATGCCCCTCGCAGAGGCGATTCGCTTCATCCGTAAAGTCGGAGACTACAATAGGCTCATGATCACGATTAAAGGGAAAGACATCAGGTGAGAACAGGTGAAAATGAATATCTAAAAGATCTATTTAAGTCATCTCGTCTAAATTTCATTCATCATTATCATCATCATCATCACCATCATCATCATCATCATCATCCGGTGGCGGTGGCGGTGGCGGTGGCGGTGGCGGTGGCGGTGGCGGTGGCGGCGGCGGTGGTGGGGTGGAGATGATGATGATGATGATGATGATTCGCGTGTGTGTAAGTGGATTATTGCCCTAATCATCCACTACCTTTCTTATCTAGTCAAGAAGGTCTGACTTTTATTTGACATATTTTCACCTGTCGATATTGCGTCAACGCTGTTAATTTTAAGTTTTTCTTTCGCATCTTCGTCGTCCAGCCTGAAATCCTCATCAGAAAATGATTTCTAAAACAGCCAACATGTTTTCTAAATAAATTAGTGTTCATGCATTGTACATTAAATTTAGGCATAATTCTAACTTATGCATTACATCAGGAGCTTATAAATGGCCATTTATTAGCTCCTGATTACATCGTATACCTATATTATGCGGTTCATTTAATTATATTTTGCCATAACTCGCTTACTACAGTAAAACTCGCATAAGACACCATCGTCTGATCGCCATCGCCATCGCCATCGCCATCGCCATCACCATCGCCATCGTCATCGCCATCGTCTAATTGCCATCGCCATCGCCATCGCCATCGCCATCGCCATCGCCATCGCCATCGCCATCGTCTAATCGCCATCGCCATCGCCATCGCCTACTCGTCAATTCGCTGAAGTCGTCTAATACTAGTACTAGTACTAGAATTCATGGAAGTCACATGTGTTTACGCATAGACCTACCAGTATGAGTGGCGCGCGGTCTGAAGTAACAGCCACTGCGAGGTTCGCAGCATTTATCACGTCATTAAGCCTCACGCGAAACTCTTTCATCTTTATGCTAATGAAAACAAATAATGGCAGTGGTATCGGTGATGGGAACAGCGATGATGGTAGATGGATGCTGTGGTGGTCGAGGTAGTAGTATCGGTAGCGTTAATGTTGATAATGATATAGATGATGATGATGATGATGATGATGATGATGATGATGGTGGTGGTGGTGGACCGTCGCTCTCGACCCAGTCTTCTCCGTCTTCGCTATTGTCTATCTCATTCCTTCCACTGATAAGCTGTTCGTACCCAGGATCTCTGCTCATGGTGGGTTTCATCCACGACCGGAATCGTGCACCCAGTGAACCATGGTCTTTGATTAGCCTATTTGTTTTTTCTGAAACATGTTTGGAAATTGTTCGTTTGTTGTACACGAGTCAGCCTACGTGTCTACACAACTTGGTAGACATAGTTGGTCAGTACACAAATCTGTCACGCCATTGTTAATTGACAACTTATCTGATATATATTACTATTCATCTGGTTCCGAAGAGACAGTGATTACCTGCAATGGATTTCGGAAACAAAGTGGGACCTACAGAGTGGAACGCGAGTGGATTCCCTAGCTGCCACATACCATGTATATGTATATTCTATCAAGTGCGTATAAAGAAGGCTTCTTTATACGCTCTTGATTATATATATATATATATATATATATATATATGTATATACATCAGAAGTAGATAATATGGAACCCTATTATAGGTTCCCTATTATCTACTTCTGATATACACATATATATATATATATATATATATGCATGTGTGTGGGCATGTATGTGTGTGTGTGTGGGGGGGGGCCTGCACGTTCCGAGTTTCACTTGCAGGGCAATTTATGCGGCAGTAACATTGGGGCGGGCGGGCAGGCAGACAGACAAACAGACAGATAAAATGAGAGCCAGTTAAAGAGCGTGATAGAAAGCACGAGTTGCTGGGCACACCCACCCTTGTCTCGTCCAGTTTCCCTTCCACCACCGCTACACCAGCCAGGAGCGCAAGGAACGGCAGATCAGCGTCCCTTGCAGCCTCGTGCAGCAGCCCATCTTCGATACTCTCCGTGCAAAGCTGGTATAATTCGTCAATGTCTTTGTCTTTGTCGCCCGCCCGTCCGTCCGTCTGTTTGTCTGTCTGTCTGTCTGTCTGTCTGTTTGTTTGTTTGTCTGTCTGTCTGGCTGCCTGTCTGTGTGCCGTCCTGTCTGCCTGTCTACCTAACTGCTTACCCGTTTGTCTCTCTGGCCTTCTATATATATATATTAATATAATATAATTTATTTTTAAAAGGATGGTCGAACGGCACTGGAGTGGGCGCGAGACGCTGGAGAGAACACCTCCGTCGAGCTTCTACAACGAATGCACGACACGCTCTACGATTAACATAAATATCGTGAATTGACTTCTCCTAAATTTTTGATGACCTGTAATTTCTATTTGAAAATGTATTGTGACTTGTAATGGTCATTTGGCTAATAATGAATTGTTTGAATAACTAAGATCCCGTTATTAATATTCAGAATTATGATTGATACTATTATTATACCATTCACACATATACCTGTACGTGAAAAGGGCACTGGAAAATTATAAAATTAACACATAATTTTATTACCAGGAGTGAATAATAATAAATCTATTAATCTAATATTAAATCTATTAGTAAATCAATTACCCATTAGTACGTTGTGTTACTCATATATTACGTGGTTGATAATCTATCTGTTAAAATTCTCAGAAAATATTTTATTATTATTGATAAAGGCAGCATAATCTATTGCAGCGTGTGGAAGCCCTAGCGGGTGGCCATGCTGAAAAAGCGTGGGAGTAATCATGAACGATTTTGTATTTTCGTGAAACATTATAAAGTGGTGAAAAAACGGGGAATTGCAATGGAAATTATTGTGAGAAAGGCAAGAATAAAAAAAACATACATCACATAACTGGTCTATTGAGTTCTCTCCCAAGTTAAATTGCATGCGCATCAGGGCAAGGAGGCCTAAGGCAGTGTCACTTTAGATTCTCAGACTCCCACTTTCAAAAACGTTGTGACGCTCATGCCTACAGGATATAATTTAGCGATAAAAGTCGAGAAATACACTAATTTGCGTACACCCAACAACACTCCATCTGTAAAAGTCGACCACACATACACCTAACCTGAGTATGTATGTAGTATGGGTAGTAGAACGGGTACAGTGGTTAATTCCTAGTTTCCAGGTAAAAACATTATACGATTTCTCTGTACCAGGTTAATTAAGATCGCACTTTCGGCTTTGCCGCGTCCCGGTTGACCTCTATTAGCAAATCACGAAAGATTTATCCGGTATTTTTCTGGTTTCTAGATAATTAAAATGTTCCAATTCCGAGTCCGGTAAATAACCGTGTCCCCTCGCTGTTACTGCTGCTACGTATGTTGCTTACTAGGTATTAGATAATTAAGAATAGCTTCAATAATCGCAATAGATACGGTGCCTGGCTTCGTAGGTGTGGTAACCAAGAGCATCTGCGCATATCATGGATTCCACGAGAAAAGAAACTGGGCCAGGAAAAATTAAAATTATTCTAATATGAATTTTAAACGTCTCTCTCTCTTCAACGCTCCTCCTGCGTTCTCTCTCTTCATCGCTCCTCTCTCTCTTTCTCTCTCTTCATCACTCCTCTCTCGTTCTCTCTCTTCATTGCTCCTCTCTTGTTCTCTCTCTTTATCGCTCCTCTTTCGTTCTCTCTCTTCATCGCTCCTCTCTCGTTCTCTCTCTTCATTTAGTCAGGGGGCAAATTTCAAAAAGAGTTAAAATAAGGATGACCCTAAACTTTTTGGGTAGAGGCTGGAAACGGGTAAATATCATTTCTAGGATACTTGGTTAGTTCAACTGGGTATGTTTCCGGGCGGACTTTTGCGTATTGTGGCGGCCATCTTGAAATCCAACAAGACAACAACAAGCACATGCGAAATGGGGCCTTTGTTCTAATGTGTACTGTTCAGCTTTTAAACGGTGATAAAATAATCTTAGATATAATGTGACGGAATTACATGGGGCACCCAACATTTTCACACCAAAGTTATTACACTATTGTTATTTTCGTTTTCCGTTTCGGTATGGAAGGGACAAGCTCAAAATAATCTCTGGATATACATTCATTTTTAAAATGATACCAATAAATCATAAGTACTCACCGTAAAAACGTGGATGACAGCGAATCGAAAAAAGGTCAAAAGTTCGTAGCAGACGGCGGTTAGCAACAATTCCGCAGGAAACGAAAATAATCGATAAAAATTTTTTAAATGCTAAAGGTTAAAAATATATGTACACTAATGTTAAACTCTAAATGAGAGAAGAGCGATGAGGAGAGAGAACGAGAGAAGAGCGATGAAGAGAGAGAATCGAGGAAAAGGTGAAAGAATCGAGGAATGAAAGAGAGAGAGAGAGAGAGAGAGAGAGAGAGAGATAGAGAAGAGAAGAGAGAG